AGGTTAGTAAATCAACGTCATCATTAGGGTGCACATTCTCACTTCATGTAGCTATCGCAAAGGCCAACGGTGAGAAAATCACTGAACGATGGCTCCCAAACGATGACAAAATCCGCGGCGTCAACCTCGGTTCACAGTTCATCATCGAACGATGGATGGCCGAAGAATCATGGAAGAATATGGGCTGCAGTGCCTACAACGACGAATGGGCATGCGTCAAGGGCATCGGCCAAGAAAAAGCCAACGCCGCCTTCAAGAAACATTGGGAGACTTGGATCACGGAAGATGACATCAAACAGATTGCAAGCATTGGTCTCAATGCTGTTCGTATTCCTGTCGGATATTGGATGTACGAGGATATCATTCAGAAAGGTGAATACTGGCCCCGCGGCGGCATCTGGCATCTTGACCGTATTGTCGGGTGGTGTAAGAAGCATGGCATCTACGCGGTCATCGGACTCCATTCTGCACCTGGTATTAGCTCACCGAACGAGCAGTTCACCGGCCATGTAAGCAATCGTCTCGCCTCACTAAACATTAATTAACCACGTCGCAGTCCATCCCGAACCCTGGATTTTATACTGCCGAGAACTATGAGCGAGCGTTCAAGTTCCTTGAATGGATGACCAAGCGAATCCATACTAATGGAAACTACACTACCGTCGGTATGCTCGAGGTTCTGAACGAGCCCGTGCGCGCTGGCAAGTGGAAGGCCGAAGCAGATGACATGATCAAAAATTACTACCCTGGTGCATACAAGCGCATCCAGGCTATGGAGGGTTACCTCAAGGTTCCCAAAGCTGATCGCTTACACATTCAATTCATGGTAAGTTGCATATACCTAGGTGAAGTTTTCATGCATCTCCCACTGACTTCATTGCAGGGCAAAAGTTGGGGTGCAGGTGACCCCAGACTATACCTCCCAGACGACGATCTCATCTTCTTCGATGCTCACCGCTATCTATCCTTCGACAACAGAATCGATGGCAATAAGAAGGCATATATAGAAACTGCCTGCAAAGACAACATGGGCCAGCACGTCTTCGTCGGCGAATGGTCCCTGTCAGTCAATTCAACATTGAAGAACACCGACGAGTTCAAGATCGAGGGCCAGGAAACATGGTACAAGGCTTACTGGGCTGCTCAAGCTGAGTCCTTTGAGAAGGGCGATGGATGGTTCTTTTGGTCCTGGAAGTGTGATGGAGAGCTTGGGAAGAAGGATTGGCGCTGGTGTTATCAAGCTGCTGTTGCCGCGGGCGTCATTCCCAAGGATGCCGGCAAAGCCAAGAGTTTGAGCCCTTGCGCTAGGTATACTAAATAAGCGGATGATACCCTTGATGGGAATCTCGGTTCTTCTGTTCTGTATATAGTTTGAGCCTCCTCGGCTGCTGATGCCGAGGTAGCATAGTAATAGTGGCTTTGAGTATCAGAAGTCTAGCGAATTGTTCCACTGCCGAAGTCATTGGCCTATCATTTCTCTCTGATGGCGTCAAAGTTAGCGGATTAATTGGTGGCCGTTTCCCGCTCAGCCTAGTGGTGAATCATAGGCGTTTCAGCTCGGACATGTTGCATCGTGAAACGCCGCATGTCGAGAGAATATCGGCGTAAATACCAGCTTCAATCGCCTCCAAAGCCCAAAATCATCTTTTTCTTTCTTTGACCAAGTTGCTACTCTTCTGGTCGAATCTCTCTACTCGTCTCTCCTCTCTTATATCAACGCCATGGCCGATCGCTACGTCACCATTCACGAGTCTCCCAATGGACCAGGAGACTCACGACCAACAGCTATCCAGATCATCAAGGATGAAGGATTGGAAGGGAGATTGAGCGGCCTGATCGTCTTTATTACCGGTTGTTCTGCGGGTATCGGCGTTGAGACGGCGAAAGCGCTGCATCTCACCGGCGCAACTCTATATCTAACGGCCCGAGACCTCGAAAAGGCGAAATCAGCTCTAGGCGACCTCGCGCAAGATGAGCGTGTTAATCTTCTCGAACTTGATCTGGAATCGCTAGAGAGTGTTCGCTCGTGCGCTACCAAGTTCTTGTCCGAGAGCCCGAAACTCAATATCCTTATCTGCAATGCTGGGGTCATGTGTACGCCAGAAGGACGCACAGAAGACGGCTTCGAAACTCAATTCGGAACAAACCATCTTGCTCACTTCCTCTTGTTCCAAATACTCAAACCCGCTCTAGTCAAAGGTGCGACGTCTGATCATGCATCGCGAGTCGTCATGCTGAGCTCGCTTGCCCATCGCTTTGGCGAGGTTAACTTTGACAACGTCAACATGGAGGGCTGCTACGATCCCAACAAAGCATACTCACAGAGTAAAACTGCCAATCTTTGGACAGCTAATGAGATTGAGCGGAGGTACGCCAGTGAGGGTATCCATGCGTGGAGTGTCCAGCCTGGCGGTGTCCTCACAGATCTGGGAAGACATTTGTCTGAGGAACAAAAGAGTGGCCTCGCAGTGGATCCATATCTCAAGACAATTTGGAAGCTCCCAGACCAAGGTGCAGCTACCAGTGTCTGGGCAGCTGTCGCTCAGGCTTTGGAAGGCCAAGGCGGGAAGTATCTTGAGGACTGTCAAATCGTTGGGAAATGGGATCCTTCATCTCCGTTGTATGCAAGAGGCCATGGGGAGCATGCGTGTGATGCCGAGAAAGCTGCTAGATTATGGGATAAGTCTCTGGAGTGGGTAGGCCTGTAGACTGGTGGAAGGGCGCTGAAGAATGATAAAGAAATGACAACAATTTTTGTTAACCTATTCTCCTATCTATCAAGGCCCGTGGACGATATTAAGCTGTACAATACCTCGAATCAGCGATGTTGATTACTTGTTTAGTCTTGGGGCTCTCTCAGGATCCCTCCACCAACGGCAAGCCTCCGTCCGAATACCATCCTTCTCAACTTTCGTATCCCCCGGCTGCACAACAATCTGCGTCGGCGATCTCTCCCGTCCATTATAAGTAGGCCATTTTGGACTTCCAGGGTATCTATGCTTGTTAGGATCACCCGTTGCAACAAAACTAGCCAAGTACCCATGGTAGATGTGGCTGATCTCGGGATACTGAGTAGTAGGCTCATCCCACGTAAATGCCGTGTCGGCAGTGTGAGGAATGCCTTGCCAGGCGGGGAAGCTGTTGTTGGTGTTGAAGCGAACTTTCCATGTCGGTACTCCGGCGGTGGAGGTGCGGTATGCTGTTTCCTGGCCGGGGCAGATATAGGCGTAGTCGCTCCAAGCGGCGGAGATGCGATTGTATTGAGTGCTGTTGGGGGAGTTGGCAAACGGTGAGTCTTTATATCTTGCGGGATCGGGATACAGAGCGGACAGCTCCTTCAGGTCTTTGGTGGTCAAAGCTGGTGAGATGTTGTGAAGATAATCCAAGAACTCCTTGTTGGTCTCTAGGTCGCCAGGAGTGTAAAACTTGGCTTCGTCGGTGACAGTAGAAGTGATCGTTGGGACGTGGAAGAATGTTCCGTCGTAACCAGATTGAGAGCCTGGTTTCTCAAAGAGAGGTCCACCATGCACAGGTTGGAATGGCCACGTCAATTGAGGATCGTAGTCATGATACAACTTGGTGCTGATGTTTCTGATAGCATTGACATCTGCTCCCTTCAGGCACTTGAGCGTTGCCTTGTTTCCTTTCTTCTTGTCGCATCCAAGATACGTAATGTACTCATCGTATTGTCGCTTATACAAAGGATAAGTATCATTCGGGAAGGCTCGTGAAGTGACTGAACCGGACTGATGAATCGCCCGAGCAAACAACTGCTTATTATCCTTTCCGTAGTTGTGAAAGTAATGGATGCCCACTGAATGGCCACCGGCAGAGCGACCACCAATAGTAACAGCATCCTTATCACCGCCAAAAGCACCAATATGCTTCTGCACGAACTCCAAGAAGAATCGCTGATCTCGAATACCTAGGTTTGCCAGACCCTCATCCTGGAAGAGCTTGGATGGCAGAAAGCCGAGAGAGTTGACGCGGTAGTGGAAGTTGACTACCACGATGGGAACCTTGGATGAGGCAGCGAATGCAGCGGCATCGAAACTAGCCCAGCTGCCAGCGTAAAAAGCACCGCCGTGGATCCACACAAGAACAGGAAGTTTCTTGCTCAAAGCTACGCCCTTTGGTCGAAACACGTTGAAGTTGAGGCACGCCTCGCTCTGTGAGTCGAGGGGTACTCTGGAGGAGACTTCTTGAATACAAGTTTTGCCGAAGCTATCCGCTTTCTTGATGCCCTTGAACTTCTCGGGCCAAGAAACAGGGTGAAAGCGATGATCGCCGGTAGGTTGAGTGGCATAGTCGATACCCAGCCATGCATCAACAGGCGCAGGGAGCTTCTGCTTGGTGAAAGTGCTGTTGACAGTGGTACCGGAGAAACTACCGTAGCCATCAAGCTTAACAGTATTGTAATGTCCTCCTGTAGCTTGCGCAACAGGCGACAGCGCCAGAAGCGTTCCGAGATTTGACAGGACCTTCATGGTGATGGAGGTGTGAGGGAACGAAGGGAAAAGAAAAGAGGAGGCAGATCAACTTTATATATCGCGCTATCAATGCTGTTTAAGCTTAAACCCCCCGCACGTTAGTCGACATCGCCCCCGAAATCGTGCAAGAGCCAACAGGGTCGGATACGAACGCATTACTGGTGGAGTATGGCATCACCATCCTCGGTTTTCCGGGTTTAGAAATAGGCCCGACATCGTATGCCAAGTCATTGGTTTGCGAGCGATGATCATTCTAACAGATTGTGCAAGAGTTGGGTGAGGATCTACGGGACGAAACAAAACGGCGGGACCTAAATGACAAAAAGACTTTAGTAATTTAGCATAAGTTTAGGATATCTTTGCTAAGTTTAGGACACCTTTACTAACTTTAGGATACCTTTTCTGAGTTTATTTTGACATTTTGACTCAAGGTCTGATGTATTCTTGTTACTGAGGGAGATATGCGGTATCGCCAAGGGTTGGTGATAAAAAGAAGAGGGATGTGATTTGCTAGTTTAATCGAGGTAATACAGCAGGGGTCTGGTGGACACCAGGAATATTGGGAACCTCGTACTCTTGCTCCATCTGCTGTCGGGACTCTGGGTCGATCACTAGAGAGGGTAACTCCAAGAGTCGAATCGCGTGACCTTCAGATATAATTTCCCCTTCAATCCGCCTCTTCTCTAACCATAAATAAGGGTGGCCATGCTTCCTTGCAACCTCTTCCCAGGCTTGTACGGTGTAGCGATCGAATTCCACGTCCATGGTGCTGCACCACGCAATTGTGGCAGCCATTTTTGTTCTGCGGTAGGTAAATGAGCTGGCACGACGCCTCCTTCTCGCATTCCACAGCACTATAATTTCGAGGCGCGGCATACGCAATGCAACCTGTGCAGCGTCTTGGAGGAAGACCGAGACCGCTTTTGATGCAAGGTCCCTGGTGAACTGCCTGGTTGTAAGGATAACGGTTTGAAGACTTTTCCACGTCCAATCTGATTGACAATGTGAGAAGAAGGTTTCGGCTATGGCGACGAACGAAATCGACAAATGCTCGAGGTTAAGGCTCTTCGCGGCGAACTGTTTACTGTTTTCATCCACCCAACGCTCTTGCTCGACATAAACACACCTGGGGCCATAAAATAGCGGAGCGAGTAGCAAGTGTTCTATGCAGAAATCTTCATATACCGTCAAGGTTCGCAGTGTGCTTGGGTGTATATTCGCGATCAGGTCATCTGTAGTGGGTGCCCTTCAGCATAAAAGACTCGTCCGAGCATTCGGGAGAGACCCACATTCTTGGCGGATGTTGGAGTTCCGGGACGTGATGAACTTGGCGTCGCTGTGTGCCCACGTCTCTAGATGAAGATGCACAAGTCTGGGACAAGCCTTGACCAATCTCGCAATGTCTGAAGGTCGGAACCGATTTCGGTAGTAACGGCGAATTACGAACTTCGTGACTGCATCGGCCAGGGGCAGTTTCATGTCGTTGTTAAGACGTATCGGCCGAAAGCAGGTCGCTATTGTACTCACAACAGAAGCCAATGCAACCGTTCGCCAGTCGTGGCTTGGATCAATGGTGAGTACCGGTATCCTTTGCGATTCTCCAGGACAGCCGATAAACCAATTCTTGAGCCAATGAGCCTGTTCTCGGACGCTGTAAGCATTGAACTCTAACGTCAAACCTCTCTCGGTACAGTCCCAAGAGCTCATGGTGCTGAAGAGTTGGTAAAGGTAATACTCTGGTAGTCTCATGAGTTGGGCTACTGCGCTGTTGATCGTCGGCATTTGGCGAGTGTTCGCAGCGAAGCATTCATGGCATACGGGGCCTTGGAGTTCCATGTTGAACCAAAGATGGTGTATTGCAGCGCGTGGCTGTGCACTCAATTGCGCCAAACTCGTGAGACCATGCTGGTAGACCATGAGGTTGTGGAAGGTTCTCTCTTCCATGAATGTCCGCCATTCTTGGCAGACGGAAGCATAGACATGCTTGCGGCGATATTGATGAGCTAGAAAGCCTAGAATGTAGTGCTGAATTTCTCGGGGCAGTCGGTTCCAGGTCGTCGTCGTTCCGATTACTGCAGTGTTTCGGGTGGCTTGCGGTGTTGCTGATTGGACTGAAGTCTGAATAAAATGAATGCAATGTGAGTGCGACATGATGAATTGAAGAGATGCGGGATAGACGATATCTGAATTGAATTGAAGCTGGTGGGAAATCGAAATGATGCTTTGGGCAAGATTCGAGCTGCTGGGTGTTGACCATGATCAGTTGGGGGAGGAAAGACAGATCGGGACCTTGACCCTAAATGACAGAAAGGCTTAGGTAACTTGCCATAAGTTTAGGGTACATTTTGCTGAGTGTATTTTGGCATCTGATACCAGGGTCTGATGTTTCTGGCTTCCCGAGGGGTGGACTTAGCATAGGGTGCTTCTTGCCTGCAAAGGTGCTTGGCTGGCTCGACAAAAAGGACGAGAGTGCTTCAGGAGGAGCGATTCCAAACATGGAAACGAGATAACAATAGCATCCCTGGTGAGCCAGGCAGGAGTTCGCAATCTGAGATACCTTTATCCGATCAAACGTCACCAAGATGTTGACCTCCCTTCAGTCACGCCAGATGAACGGCCCCAGAGCTTGTGAGGCGTGGATCACGAATATGGGATAGTTGAAGGCCCGTAAAATCTCAAATGTGCTATTCAGTCTCCTCTATTTCTATAATGCTGCTCTCTAAGAGTGCTCTATCCTCACAACAAGCCACTCTCGTCTACGCCTTCGCAGCCTCCAGATACCTCTGACTGAAAGTATAGTCATTGTATCCCTTGTCAGTCTTGGGAGCATAAAATGTATCCCTTTGATAAGGCGTCAGAGTAACACCGTACTTAAGCCGGAAGACCAAGTCAGGGTTCGAGATAAACCATCGCCCAAAAGCCACAATGACATCCCACTTCTTGTAACTCTCATCAACAGCATCATAAACGTTATCGGGGATATATCCACCTCCAACAATAACAGGGGACTGATTATCCCACATCTCAAGAAAGTACTCCAGACTCTGCTTCCTGTCTCCAAAGGGATTAACCTTGTCTGAGCCAAGATCCTTAGGCGCAGCGTCGAGGTAAGCTGGGTTACCTCGCGGTTCGACGAGCGAAACGTAAGCCAGCTTGAAGCCTGCTTTCTTGAGCTCGTTGAAGATGTAGCCGAATTGTTCCCAAGTATTGTGGGTGAATGCAGCCTGGAATGTTGCAAAGGGGCTTAGACGGAGGGCGGTTCGCTCAGCGCCGATTTCTTCGACGGTGGCTTTGATGACTTCGAGGAGAAAGCGGGCGCGGTTCTCAACAGAGCCTCCCCACTTATCGGTTCTGTTGTTGATGCTTTCGCTGATGAACTGGTCGATGAGATATCTGCGATAGACTTTGTTAGCAACTGAGTTCATCCAGCAAGAATGTCGCTTCTTACCCATGAGCACCGTGAATCTCAACACCATCACCACCAGCATCGACGACATTCCTCGCAGCCTGTCTAAACTCCCCAATCTTCTCCCAGATCTCCTCTTCCGTCAACGCCTCAGGCTTCGCATTCTTCCCCTCCATCTGAACCGCGCTACTCGAAGAGTATTTGAACCCTCTCTTCTTTAGATAATCCGGATCACCCGCCCTTCCGAGATCCCAAATCTGCTGAAACATGTAACTTCCCTTAGCATGTACAGCGTCGTAGATCTTTCTCCAGCCCTCGATTTGCTGTGGGGAGGTGATTCCTGGTAGGTTGGGGGCTGCTTCGCCCGTTTTGGATATGCCGGTGGCTTCGCTGATGACGAGGGTTCCTGGGGTAGACGCGCGGTCGGCGTAGTATTTTATCATGAGGTCAAGGGGCAGATGGTCATCGTCATTGCGGAAACGGGTTAGAGGAGCGAGGGCGATGCGATGGGAGAGAGTGGCGTTTCCCAGTTTGAGGGGCTGCCAGAGTTTTGACTCTGTTGACATGATGGGTATTGATTGAGATGAAGAGTGTTATAATTATAGGGTGATAGATACTTTAGTTGAAAGTGATGCGAAATGATTTGTGATTGTGTTGTGATGATGGGACCTTAACTTTAGAGGGATTTTGTCTTTAAATACATTTTTAATGGCAGGCAATGATGCTTCATCGTCGTCTAGATTATCAAGCGAAGATGGTGCAAAGTAGCATTCGGAGCAATAGTCGAGACGCTTAGAAACTAAAATGCCCATACGAAGTCCATGGAGCCCTCGGAAATTCCAGAGTGAACCCTCATAATACAACGTGAAATACGGCTGGTAAGCTTGTCCATGGCACTTGAAACTGCACGCCGTGGAGCCCACGGGGATCAAATCACTAATTCTGCAGTACATCACCTCATAATTCAACGCATGATACGGCTAGAAATGCTTGATAATCAGGGCCATTGAAAAAAATTTTTGGGGAAGAAATCGGAGAATTACTTCAACACCCCGACGCCATCTTTCTTACGAGAGGTGACCCTACGAGCCGACCAATTGGATTCGAGATTCAGCGTTACGTGATTTGAAATCCCCCGTCATTCTTGGTAGTGATTGGCTAGACGGTCAAAGTTCAACCGAAGATCTGCTAAGCCCTACGAGCATTAATAACGCTCTTTTGCAGCCAGGAACAAGAACGACGGTGCATAATCTTGCGATTAATAACTATGTAACTGTATTCAATTTCCCAAGCCCATCTTCCACCTTGAACCCCCATATACTCCCCCAGTCTCCGTCTACCGCATTCAAGCCCTATCCTTATGGTAGCACAAAACCCAACCAAACTCCACAGGGTTGGTACTAATCAGCGCTGGCTTCTCGTGACTAAACTCAGTGCTTCCTAGCTGAACGCCATATTTATCCTTATACCGCTGACAAACAACATCGCCGAGTTTAGGCGATTCAATATCGGGGATGTTGACGTTGAGACTCTCGAGACGCAGCTCGGTGACTTGGTAGTCGAGAGTGATGAGCTGCGCCAGAGGGATTCTGACGGGTTGACGGCTGTGGTCCGCCGAGTTGACGATCATGATGACTGCATTGGCTGTGGGTGCTTGACGCGCTGTTGGCTGGGATGCTGCTGTTGAGGCGAGCGCGATGGCGCTGGTGAGGAGGGTCGAGAAATGCATGATGATGCTGATCCTGATGTTCTATGGTTTGTTGAGTTGTAAATGCACTGACATCAAAATCACCAGGCTTGAGGTTCTAAGACGATACTTTTATACTTTGTTGATTCTCCTGTTGACATACGTCAACCCTCTAATAATAGCATCGCGCCTCAAATACCCCAAGTCCCGTCTCAGCCCCCATGTCGTGTGATGCACATGTCAGCACTTGCAAAATTTACGAGGCTTCTTGGCCCTGTCCTATGGATGTCGATCACTTTATTATTTTTTCTCCGCGGCCACTCAGAGATCAGTATCTGAGACAAGTGAGCTGTCGATCATGAGAGCATTCTGTCTTGGACATAAATCACGATATGGTTGGGTGGAGAGATAATCTCGAGATTAATGCTCTCTCGTATTCATTTATAGATGATATAATATTCTGGGCGTTGTGATTTGCACATGTCATATGCAGCGCTGCATATGGCTAGATGTGACGAGAGAGGAGAGATGAGAGAACTTCGGTAATGTCCTAGCTGGGCTATGTTGATTCGTATTGAGGCTTGGTTGTGCGACATGTGTACTTGGCATAATGTTTGTGATACTTTCAGTAATGGGCTACCTCTATGAGACCTAGGATCCATTTGTGAAAGGTCCTATGAGCACATCATCTGCCTTTCTTCGCCTTCAACCCATCTTACGCTGACGCCAAGATCCAATCAATGCTCACAGAAGTTATAGTCAATCGACTCCCAGTGAGCCCTCGCCTTCTCCGCAGTCCGCTCATCCATCAATTTAAGCCGATGCGCCCGCGCTTCCTCAACATCCATGAGGCCACTAGGCACTTCACCGCTTCCAGTCCACCAATCCTTTTGCTGAGGCGGCATATTCGCCGTTGAAAGGATTCGGCGGTGCGGATCAACAAGCCAAAGGGCGATGAAGCGTCGATGGCCCGGCTTTGTCGGATCTTGGAGCTTGAAAGAGGAAACACGGTGTTGGATAGACGAATGTTAGTAGGTAGATGGAAGCGTGGGGAAATAACTTACAAGACGTTGGGAAAAGCGAGGAGACGACCCTCTGGCGTGCCAACGTCTCCGTAGCTCTGAACACAAGACCTATCTAATCCGCCTTGCATTCCAAGACCCGTGCCAAACACCCTTTCGAGGTAGTTGTAACTATCCTGACCAGCCTCGATCTTATCATTCAGATACGATCTCGTCTGCATTCAGAACGATAAACGGCTCGGTGTGACGTTCTCACTGTCAAAGTAGTACAGCGCAGTGGCGGCAATCTTCTCGTTCATCTGACCTTCAAGTGAAAAAATGTCAGTATGCCAAGTCTCATGCTAGCAGTGCTAGGGTCGACTTACATGCCAACTTCCAGCGGGGAACTCGGGCTTCTCAGGCGTGGATTCAATACTCGCCATCTTGACAATGAATTGTAAACCATTTTCTTGAACTTCTCCCGTAAGCTCTGCTTTGGCGCGTAGTCAACTTCTTCAAAGGGCTTTGGGTCAGGGAGTATAGCATCGCGGTACTTGAGCCATTTTACTTCAGCCATGGTCTCATCATCGACATTAGGTGTGAGAGGAGGGAGTCCCTCGTTCATTCTTCGCTGATCCTCATCTTCGTCGATTTCCACTGGGTCCTCTGATTCATGGTAACACTCTTCTTCCAAGTCACGTAGTTCTTGATGCGTGAGCTCGACGTCTTTATGAAGAAATTCTCCCACATTGAACTCTGGCGTCCATAAGTCATCTTTTTCGTCACTAACGTTCATTAGCGGGAAAAAAAAAACCTGGAGGAACATGAGACTTACGATGCTTCCTTGATCCATTCAAAGCGTGACTTGTTTCTCCCCGCAAAGTTCCCGTCGTGGAAACGACTGACCTCCAGTAACAATGATCCCAAGCAGGGATCACCCTATCAACCAATCTCTCAATAGTCCTGTAGATATCAGGAAACTTTGTGGGGTGAAGATTGTTCACGTAGCTTGTGAACTCAGCACTGCCATCTTCGCGAAATCTAACGTTGGCAGGCAACCACTGGTATTTATCGGACCAGTACTCTGAGCCAATCTTTCCTGGACCAGTGGTAAATTCTGGCCCCGACACATCCTCGAATACATTCTGCGGACTACAGGGGGCTGGCCTCACACGGGCTTGCCTTCGCCCATGAAGTCGAGTGCGTTCGATACACCGACCACTTCTTCCTGGATGAACGGTGAACGGTCTGTTCATTATTAGTGTTAAGCTTTTGTCCTTGGCAGAGAGGAAATACCGTAGACGAAATTGTACATGGAAGGATGGATAAGGTTTTAGACCATGTCGTTACTTCGCGGGTGCCAATCGGCGTTGCCTTCTTGATCCTTCAAAAGCGTGTAGCACGCTTTGTTGAGATCACGGTGAAGACTCTTGTCGACGAGCGAGTCTGACTTGATGATCATGTTGCCGGGTCCATCAAGAGTAGGGATGAGACCTGACTTCTCGAAGTACCTTGCCTTTCCACGCAGCTCTTGAATGCACTGTCAAACATTGATTACCAGCTAACAAGAAATATAAAATTCACCGTCAACTCACGTAGTCGAACGCTGCATCAGTGATGATCCTATCCCGAGGCTTACGAGAACCCTTCCCCAGCTTATCCTGCATGATCCTCGCATACAACCCATCCTCACTCTGCTGGCACGCTTCATCTCTCCACCTCTGAACAATCGTCTCGTTGAACACCTTTTTGTGCCATTCTGGTTTATCTGTCTAGGTATCCATGAGAATCATCATTGCAACCTCTTTCACCGGCATCACCTGAGATTTACTCCTTTTGTATTCAGGAAACCCAATGGGGTAGAACAAATACTCATCTTGCGATTGAATGACTTCTTAGTCATATCTCGCAGAGCGAAATTCACGCCTGGATAGAGATGCATCGGTGTCGCCATGGTCATAGAACTCCGGGGGAGGAATAACTTTGACTGGTTGGCGACTAGGCAAGCGTACAGCAAGCCGAGATGTAGTTGTAGGAACAACAGTGGGAAAACCCACATGATGAGAGGGGAGAATGTTTCAAAGGTTTAAATTACGGAAGTTCAATGGTATTTAAATAACTTATGGAGGGAAACGTGGGCTTTTGTGATTCGAGGAGTATGGTCGTGAGTTTGTATCGCAAACTTAGACCCAGAGCTCTAGACAGACACATGCAGATTCAGGGTTTTTGCCTCTTTACACATGGGTGCAACTTCATCAAACCATTGGCGGAGGGTGACGTTTATCGTCTCGAGCAAGCTTTTATTGCTGTTGCACATGTTTAAAAAGATTATTTCGTTTACGGCGGCGCAAGACCAGTAATCTGAGTAGGACACGCGGCCAGACGCCTGCATCCAATTATCTGACGAGGAATGAAATAGGTAGTATCTCTCCTAAATCAGTCTCGGACGGTGACTGTACTTTGATATGACGACTCAGGAATGACAGCTGCCGAGTTGTGCGCCACTGCTTTCAAGGTGGATGCAGCTTCTCCAGCTGGCAGCACCGTAAGGGATGGATCACGAAACTCAAGCTGAGTGCAATAGTCTCACATTATTATCCTCGTATTAATTAAGTTATATGGTGAAAATGAAGGAGATCCTCCTTTAGCCTCCGGGTAGTCCGATTTTAACATGGTTTCATGTTGATTGGCTCAAACCCTCACGTGACCATCCATCAGCTCAAATCCGATTTCCGACTCCGACTCCGATTTTGCTTACTCCATCCAAATCATCCGTTCTCAATTCTCGGACATCACAACAAAATCCCCCGTTCACTAATTCATCATCCTATACTTATCTAAATATGGAGCAACTAAGTCCGAGCAGCTCCAGCTCTCCAAACCACAGCCAAGCCCAGAAGCGCCGCCCCAGAAAACCCTTGAACTGCGATCCCTGCAGACACTCCAAGCTGAAATGCGACCGGGGACTGCCGTGCGCTACATGCCTCAAACGAGGCTGGCAAGACTCTTGCGCTTATGGATCAAATTTTACCGGGCCGCAGAAACGAAGGCGAACTAGACTTGAGGTTGTTGAGCCGGTGCCTCAGCAGCAGATACAGGTTCAATCTGTAGAGGTAACAGAGACCGTGTCATCTCCGAGTTCGACGCCTGAGCCGATACAGCAGAGATGGGATCAAATTCTGCGGCGACCATCTGTTGAGCGGAGTGTTATACCAGACTCACCAAACCCAACTGTTACTTTGTCCTTTGGACCTTGCGCCCCAATCACCGAATTGCTTGCTCTACTACCACCCACTTCTGTGACGGAGTACTTGGTTTGCCGTTATTTCGGAACTCTCTCATCGCTGTTCCATATTCTCCATGGCCCGACATTTCAGACTCAGTACTTGGAATTTTTAGAAGCCCCAGAGAAGACGAGCTTGTCATGGCTGGCTGTCCTCTTCGCTATCATCTCATTGACCCTCAAAACAATTGAACCAACCGATGCTGGCCTCGTTGTGTTATGGCAGGACACTACTATCCCTCGCGACTTGTCAGTACTATCACAGAAGTATCGAAATGCGGCAATGACGGCCCTTTCGCAAGATCAATTCCTGGTCCGCCATGATCTGAGCACGCTCGAGGCTCTTCTCATCCTGGTTCATATGATCTCGCATAACGAAGGACCGGAGTATGGCTGGGCACTTCTCGGCAGTGCTCTTAACATCGCCATTGCCCTGCGCTGTCACACGGATATCGAGGGACCGAATTGTATTGAACAAGAGCGCCGTCGCCGTTGCTGGGCCGGTATCCTGATCATTCATACCTACCAAGCCCTCTGCTTCAGAGACATCGACCTCACGTTCCTGTTGAACATGAAGGCGACAATGCCGGCATGGGTCAACGACAAAGATATCCAAGAACACAGTATTAAGCAGTCGCCCAAGGATTCACCCTGCGAGTTCACCGATACGTCACTCCTCAAATTCCAAGTCCGCTTGTTCCAATTATCAACACAAATCTGCTCACATATTTCTGGAGACGACAAATTGAACACCACGATTTTACACCAGTATGACACAGCTATAGCAAAAGAACAGTTACAATGGGACGCCGCATATCTTGTCAACAGCCGCCGGAGTATTCTCAACACAGCAGGCTATGCGCATTGGTGTATGCTCCAAACCTACGCGCATCAACTCTACCTTCTTCTTCATCGACCTTTTCACAGCTCCAAGGCAGGCCACTTTCGCGCTGAGTCACGAGACAAGTGTATCAAGTCCGGTCTTGCATTGCTTGATGTCCATCATCAATTCTACGAACTACCGCGATTGAAGTGCTATCGCTGGCTCGTTAAAGGCGCCATTAGCTGTAACGCACTTCATGGAGCCGTTGCACTTACTTCTTGTATGCTTGATATGCCGGATGACTCTGATCTGACAGAGCATATATCTACCATTGATGCTGCTATAAAGAGAATGGAAGCACTCAAGATGAAGAGTCCGGCTTGTTCAAGTGTTTATCGCGTTATCCGTTGTCTACGGTAAGTCGTTCTTGATTGTCCCGCCACGGAATTGGTGACTGACCTAGGTAGATCTTATCTCTCGAAGCGAGATCCTGCACCGACTTTCTTGCCTGAAGATGTCGAGTTGAGGTTCGAGGACTGGGCTACCAATGTCGACTGGTTCAGACCCGATGGAATTGACTGGGTAGGTAATGGCTCGCAGCTTGTCAAGGGTATCACTAACTGAAGTAGGAACTTTGGGACTCGGCTTACATCACTCCACAAACTGATGATGCCACGACTATGATGACTTGATGACTTGATATTAATGGATTTTGGTATCATAGGTAGAACGCGCCGACCCTTGTCCGTGGTATAATAAAAAGACTATGCACCTGATATAACTCCTCGCGTCTTACGACTCTCCCCATCATGCTTCGCTATACGCTGGAGGAGGAACCTCATGATCCTCCACCACAAAGTCCCCCTTGCAGTATTTCGGCGGAACACTGATACCTTCTGCCAAAAGGCTCTTGACCTCCTTTGCAGCAATGACGTGATCCCTCACGAAAACACCCCAGCCATTCACTGGCAGTTCCGGCGAGATGAAGAGATGTATGGGCATCGAGACCTCCTCCTCCGTCGTGACGCCATTTTTGGTCAACGTCACCTCAAAATGCAGTGAATGCGTGATGGAAACTCCACAGACTGAGAAGTCAGGCGAGCAGTTCCTCACAGCGATCGGGAGATATAGACATTGCTGCCACCGCTGTTGAAGCTCGTCGTTCAACTCCAACGGCCACTCCGTCACTATCCGCTGTCCCTCATACCCGGGCTCTTCTACATCAGACTCATTCGCCACGTCGTGCTTTTCCCGCAAGAAAAATCTGGCTTTGGTAATCTTCGCCGATGGGTCGAGAGGTGCAAGGTGAGCTTCGATAGGAATCAGTCCTCCCAGAGCAATCGCTCGATGTCGAATGGATACGTTGTACTCCGCTTTCTCGGACCATTTCCCCTGCACCGTCGTCGGATCCATGAGTTCGTACGAAGAGAAGCCCGGTGTACGAATAATTCGAATCGGCGAAAACGTCTTGAAGCTTTCCGATGAATTTCCATCAACCGTCCAGGCTTCCAGTAGGTACGTGATACTGCATCGCGTACAACCCTTGAACGATTCTTCCTGATCACCTCGAATGAACAACTCAAAAGGCCATTCAAAGTTCTTGCCGTTCTTGAACGGCTCTCCGATTTTATCGACGACATTGAATGGTTTCCATTGATGGACAGTACCTTCACGCCGTTGCCATTTTACAGACTCTTCGGCGTCAACCTTGTGGTCTCTAAGCGTAACGGTTAGCTCCCGCTTCAGCCTCGAATCTTCGGGATGAACCTACCCAAGCCACATTCGACTAGTCAACTTCAGATGAACGCTGGTGATATTTTGCCCTTCTGGGATGAAGAGGGATAGCTTCCCGCGAAGATATTGGCCTTTTGCATCTTCGCCGTTTCCACTGACGAAGACATAATCGTAGTCCGGTCTACAAGGTTAGTGAGAGCTCAGAGTCAGGATTGCGAGATATACCGTATTGTGAGGCGAGGGCGGTGTTTGCCTGTTATTCTGGCCATGATAGACCGCATTGACTTTTTCGTGGACATGATGATTTCCAGATGGAGTTGCTCAGCCGAAGAGTGAGAGGTGGATGGATGATAGAGTAAAGTCTCGGTACTTATAGAAATGCTCGAAATGTTACCAGTGGCAAGTGAATCAATGTCAACTTAGCATCTGATCAATGTAACCAAATGTGACAGTGGAAAAGTATGGGACCGTGGCTTTTATCAAGTCCCAAAACATCCCAGCCAAATCCGATTTCGAAGCCATTCACATGCCGTGCTTACTCTAAATTGGACATCTCATCTCCGATTAATCGGACTTTTCTATTCTTAGTCACCGTCTTAATACCTAAATAGGAAGTTCTGTGAGTGGCGACAGAATCGGACTTGTCAGCCCCACTCGGACATAGCAATCTCATCCTCGATTAGAAATTATCAGGAAAAGTCCGTTGTAATTGTGATTGTGATGAGTGGCTATGTACGTTATACAAACTGTTTAGTTCATCTTGGCAACGCCTGATCATGAGATCAAGCTTCGATAAAATGTCACAAGGTTTCTTGGTAAAATGGATTTCTTTCATTTTCCTCATCTGGAGTTTAAAATCTGGAGACAAACTTCCAACGGTTTTTATCGCATAATATAAATATCATGGCCTTTGACATTTCTTCAGTATATCTCCATCACGGACCACGCAGCACCGTAAGCATGCTCGACATAATATCCCACGTCCCCGAACGCTTAACGAAAGCGCTCTACATCCCAAAACATGACGACACAACCTCCCATTTCGCGATCTACGATATCTCGAAGGAATATTCCGAAAAAGTGGGCGTTCATCCCATGGGATCGGAGAGTTACAAGGTGGAGCTATGCCTTCTTCGAAAGCCTAGTGGCTATCATGCCGGTGACAACGCTCGGTTCCTGGTAGACGTGGACGCTAGTGTTTCTATTCATGAGAGGGTTATGGGTCGAGACCCTTTGGATGCGGAGGTGTAAGTTTGATAAGTGTGGAGAGAAAGCTTATACTGATAAGATTGGTAGATCATCGCCGATTGATGAAGATGGGAGTGTTACGTTGCAGATACACTCGGGACATTCCTCGTTTAAACTCACGGCACGGGAATGTTACCCTCTGCCTGAGAAGGAAACGAAGAAGAGAATCATTCGATATCCATACCTGAGCATAGATACAGCCTTTGCAGATTCACATCACCGCTGTGAATGGCAAGTTCACCCAGCGGAGAAGGGACCTTTACGCTATGATCTGGTGGATTTGGAACCCCACGGCGATGAAGATGGCTCGATACTAGCGATCTATCATCACCATGGCTTTGAGAGCGAGCTGCCTATATCTTACAACAACGGAGTTCTCCTTCTTCCCATTGACTCTACGCCATCGTTTGACATCACTGTTGTGTCGAGTCTGATGGCTCTTCTAGCTACGATTCGCAGGCAGCCAGCGGCGCGGAAACGATCACGCTTTCGGTCTTTGATGGCGTCTTTATGAAGGTAATTCGACAGGAGGGGGAGGGATGACAGAAGAATACCCATGTTTTTGGAGTCTCAGATTGTAGTAATCATATAAGGATCTTGAAATTATTGTATCAGTTCAACAAACTCACTTTCCCAGCTGCAAGCCCACGAGTCGTCTTATCCAACAACGAGCTCTCCATCTCACTCAACTTCTCCGCTAGTCCAATGCGTCTACGTGACCGAACCTCCCAATCTTCAAGAATCTTTAGACTCCCATGAGGACCGAAACCATAATACTTGTCCGTCGCTTCAGGCCACGGTTCCTCCCCAGAAATAAACTTGATCCACGCCTCGCGCATAGCCTGACCAACGCGCTCAGCACTAGGCGCAAAACCCAGATGAAAGCCTCCGAACAAGAGAACGAGGTCGACGGCGTGATGAGCTCCACTTGAAGGCTGCCATGGGTTTGCTTCGTCAATCAGACATCTAAAGGCAGGCTTATTTGCATCCTTGAAGGATCTCTCCAGAAGCTGGACTGGTAGTAGGTACTTGTAATCGTTGATGAAGTCCAACGCCCCTGTTTTGCAGGATGAAGGTCGGTCGGGGTAGATATGATACAACTTCTTGAGCTCGTCGCCATATTGCTCAGACGCATCAAAGGCTTTCGCTATGTCGCTGGGGTATGTCGCCCATACTCCAGCTTGGTAAATTGCTCCCTTTCCACTCATCAGCACAATCAGTCCCAACGTCTTGAGTGAACTAACCTCTTTCGTTACATCGCTGAGGAGTAATCTCTCTGCACAGCCCGTCTTGGTCTGCCAAGCATTGAAAGATTTTTCCCATTCGAGGAAAAATGACTGCAGACCAGATCTTCTGACTGCCTCAACAACATCGCTTGCAGATGCAGTTTCCAAATCGAGCGTTTGATCTATGTCCTTCAAGTTCGTGGAAATTGTGTCTCGAAAGCTTGCTACCAAATGTCGAGGCTGAGGCGGCGACAGGAACAAGGAGCCAGATGAGAGAATGACTTGTCGCACGCGCGCGTTTGCAACAAGGTGGGCGTGGCAATAAATAGCTCCGGCACTCTCACCCGCTAAAGTAATCATGTCCTACAAGTCTGTTAGCCAGTCATTTTTTGGTGTTGTGATGATTCAGTACCGGATCACCACCAAAGCCGGAAATATGATCTTGAACCCACTGCAAAGCCAACTCTTGATCACGAAGCGCTAGGTTCGGAGGCCCTTCTCCGTTACCGAGAGCAAAGACATTGAGTCGATACTGAACGGATACAGCGATTATTGGCTTTCCCAGTCGGAGGGAGTCAGCTACTGTTTTGTTCATGTCTGATAAAGCTCGTCAGCTCACGCCATCATTTGAATTGTATCCATACCGCAGACTCCGGATGCAGCGCTTCCGAATGTCACGGCTTGTGAGCCTCCTGCCCTTCATTCAGTTTCTGGCGATAATGCTTCGGTAAATAAATTACCATGTATCCAGACTAAGACCGGTAAATTTGAGTTTGCCACGTCTGGTCCCCTGTCAGGCAATACGACGTCTAGATTGGTGCATTTGAACTCATCCTCCGGTTCGTCTGGGAACCTATGTTCTGGAGGGATGCGCAATAAATGTCCAACATCGACAGCGACTTGCGGACACCGAGGTCTGATTATTTCAGTTACTCTTAGGCTTATCATATGAAAAGTAGGAGGTATTACCCAAAGTTAGTGCAGTCGAGAAATCTGGGATACCTGTCTAGCTTCTCAGGCGCGGCGAATCGTCGCGGAATTCGACCATACGGAATGCCTCGAAATTGAATCACGTCGGAGGTCCTGAGGCCTGTAAGTGTGGCATTCAGTGACTCGTGAGAAATGGTTGCGGTCATAATGTCTTAGGATTGAGGTGATGTTGGGTAGTGTCTTTGCTGAGTGGGCGTTGATGAGATATATCCGAGGTGGGTTTCCCGAGAGAGGGGTCTCCGGGTCATGTGGGGTCAGCACCGCGACTCCATTTTGGAGCACCACTGATACATCAGACACTTACTGAAGATAACTTATTAATAATACAAATCTTCTATAATGCCCTGGATCGTGGCAATGGCTATTTGTGACTTAGTCGATACTCGCAGACAGCTCCACAATATCTTTGTCTTAGATTGTGTTAACCATGCATAACGTATCCAAAGACAAGCTACAAGAATGTTTTGAGCTCTATATCCGAAAGAGAAAACGTCAATATCTAGCTATTCTATCCGTATTCTATAGACATAACTCCGCATATAGATCCATCTAAAGTGAATTCTTGTCCTCTACGCCTCTATACCCAACCCATTAATTCGGATACGACCTCAAAGGAAAGTATCCTTCCGGCATAGGATCAACATGCCAAAGCCTATCCAAGCTTGGCTCAAACGCGTCTACCCACTCCTTTCTCAAACTCTCTGGTAGATTCCAGCCCAGCTCATCATCCCGAAGCCTCATCCGCACTAAATGCCTTTTCTCACCAACCATATCACCATTCTTGAAGCTATCACGTCTGTGCAGAATGAAGAGATTGTTGATAAAGTGAATATCACCTGGCTTTGTCTCAATCTCCAACTGAACCTTTTTAGCTGCTCGTTCAACATCTTCAAGCGCTTTTAGCTGTTTCATTGAAACACGAGGTAGATGGGCCGGACGCGGATGGATCGCGTTGCCGATTAGTGGGACCCGACCAAAGTTGAGCATGATCCTGTTGCGGTGGCAGAAGAATACCGGTCTAGGATATCCTTCTTGGCTATTCGATTGTCATTAAAAATGTTCAGAGGATGGCTGCAACTATTCTTACTTTGCAAAAACCCATGTCGGCTGAGAAAGCTGGCGGATAGACGCTGGGTGGTGTCGATTCAGGATATTATATACCGCATATCCTGAAGCGATGATGCATCTTCCGCCTGAGGTAGCAGTGTTTCGTGTTAGCCAGCTCACAACGTCTCCGGACTCCTCGTTGTGAAATGTCTGAAAGCTCGGTTGTCAGCCATGAACTCACTCTTCAAGAGTCCCACTTACGATTTCAGATGTCGAGTGGCGGTGATGCTGACTAGAAAGCTGAGAAGAGTTATCGGCCACGACATGGACTGCAGCCGAATATGGTCAGAGCTCGTGTATGACAGTCGGCTGACGTTTCTTACCCAACATATTTCCCTCCTTATCCTGCCGGCCTCGAAGGTTGGCGATGTACGACTGAACACCGAGGTATATCATCGTCAAGTCCTCAGCAGAATAGTCAAGGGGGTTTAGTCCCCGAACCAAGCCGAAGCCTTTCCCCTCATGAACGTCTAGTCGTATACGATCAAGGCTCTTCCCGACTGTCGGAAGTGGAAAGTTCAGCCGGCAGATCAAGTCTCCATCGAGACCGAGGGCTAATATCAGATCAGAGCCTGATTCCTGAAGCATATATACGGAGCCTACCTTTGAATGAGAGAAGAGCATTCTCTATTTCCTTAACTTCCTGGGAGCTGAGATGGTATACGTACTCTGACTCGCCGGGGAACTGATTCCCGTGCCAGGCACCGGGAAGATTGATCGACTCAGGAAAGGATCTGGTTCCATAACACAATTCCATCGTCTTGAGATTTCAGATAGACTTTTATTGAGAATCGGACGGGGGTCTTATTGAGGAGTGAAGATCAAGAGCGCAGGGTACATTGCCGTGAGATTGTCGGGAAAAAGGAGAGGAGAAGACTTCATAAAGAGCAACCAGGTGGAATATATCAGCTCCTACATATATTACTGAGACTCCTGTTTCATTATCAACGCCTATTTCCCTGTTTCAATGCTCGCACTGCTGCCCCGAATGGATGATGAGGCCAGCAGTAAGATAAACGGGTGGAGTGATGATTCATTGAGAGACGTCTCACAATCATCGTGCATTGAAACCAACAGCAGCATCAAAAGCAATCAACAGCGCAATCCCTATCACAAACCTGTCCGACAGGATACACGTCTTTGTAGCAACATCCATCGCTAGTACTTGGCTGCTATCCTAGGTGTTACACAAGCCAATCCTGAAGCTAAACACAAATGAACTAAATGTTTCCCCCTTTCGGAGTCCCTCCGCACGATTTCACTGGCTCGGGGATCTTACTGCGTGTCTTTCCGTTGCATAACGCGCATGGATGCTTTTGTAGCACATCAATGACGAGATCATGATGAATATCTAGGCAAGACGCGAAGGAAGAGAGAAGAAGTGAGACAGCATAGGAAAAAGAAAGCATAGTCTTATCTGTCATCCATCTGGCGCCAGACAAAGTTCCCGACCTTCTTATTGCTGGGGAGACCTGTGCGTGGTTTGCTCATAGTTGCATCATAGTCGTTCGAGGCCTGTGATAGGCCCTAAAATGTAGCCATACAACCGCTAAGGACACTGTCATATCGGCACAAGCGCGTTTAGGACTTGAAGTCCTTGTAGCGCGTTTCTCACTGCATATCTTAGTGAGGAAGTGTGACAGTCTGTCTCGGGGAAATACTTAGAGATTACTGATCGGAACCGGACACAGGAATGACGCTTGCTTCATCATTGATGCTACAGTGCAGATGGCTGATCTCAACGAGTCTCAGTTATATCACCAAGGGAATAGGGTAATGCTCGGAACTCTCAAAAACCCAACGTCTTGAGGTTCGCCGACGTTGCTGACGAGTAACAGCCTTGGCAAACTCGTAATCTCACGACCCCATAAATATAAGATAATAAGCCCCAACGTCTGACCACTTTTTCTTGGCCTTTTAGCTTATTTCCTCGCGTGTGAGTGCCGTGATGTCTTGGCGAGCCAGTATGCAGCCAAGTCCTGATTTTTGAACTTCTATGTCATAATCTATATCTCATAGAGTATCGTAGTTGGCGCGGACAATCACTTGGAGTATATGCTTAATTTGCTGGTCCAATCAGCGCATCACTTGACGATAACAAAGATAAACACGTTTAACCTTTTGGCTAGTCAGTACATTTGCAGCTAATATCGAACACCGCAGCCATGGATACGGATTTGAACCTCGGACGAAAACAGGGAGAGCCCTGTATGTTAGCCAACTTCTTTTCCAGGATACTCACCGTTATACGATCTTATTCCCCCATATTTGTATAACAAAAGTGAATGCTTTTCCCTCGGATGCAACGTCGCATTTGTGTGTACAAAGCCTATCTTGAAACTAAACTTACCATACTCCCAAACGCACTTATCAATCACGAAACTGACCATTGAACCTAAGGGATCTTTAACTCAGTGAGGCTCTTCCTCTGGCCAAAGTCAAACCTGAAACATGAACCGGAAACATTCCCGATTTGCCAAGAACGGCATATCGCGCTACTCCGGATAATCGGCCTTCTACGCTCCACCTGTCAATCCAGGGGCCATGTCTCCACACGCAATTCGTCCCAATTACAGAGACAAGAATCCGCGTACGGACGGTGACGTTTGGAGAATGGGGTTTCAAATGACCCTTCTCATTTAAGTCGGTCCGCGTTGACAGTCTCGGCGCTGTCTGTAATTGGAGGATAATCATGTTCCGTAGAATACACAGAGAATAGGGTGGTTTCTGGAAACATAGAAATTCGGATATAACGGGTAATCGCTTGGCTGGGCATTGAAGATTTGGGGAATATATAAGCATATAGACAGTACGGAAGAAGAAGAAGAATAGCACACACAAGATCATCACATTCCTTTTGCCGGTCAAAGGTTACTCTTTCACTAAGTACATTCGTTTATTTCGTCACTCATTACACAAATCCTTCTCTCTTCTACTCAAAATGACCAAACTCGGCTTCGCTCTCCTCGCTGCCCTGGCCGGCAGCGCCATCGCCGTCCCCGCCCCAGCAGTCACCCAAGCCCCCGGCGTGCACGCCTACGCCAAGCGCGCCACCTCCTGCACATTCTCCGGCTCCGACGGCGCCTCCAAGGCCAGCAAGTCGCAAGCCGCGTGCGCCACCATCGTCCTCAACAACGTCGCTGTCCCCAGCGGCGAGACCCTGGACCTCAGCAAGCTCAAGGACAACACCAAGGTCATCTTCAAGGGAACCACTACTTGGGGATACAAGGAGTGGAAGGGGCCTCTTATGAAGATCTCTGGAAACAAGATCACTGTTGAGGGCTCTGGTGCTGTGCTTAATGCTGGTGGTGAGAAATATTGGGATGGAAATGGAGGAAACAGTGGAAAAACAAAGCCCAAGTTCTTTGCGGCTCATAAGCTCACTGACTCCAAGATCAACAATCTTTATGTCAAGAACACTCCTGTTCAGGCTGTGAGCATCAACGGTGTTAATGGTCTTACCATCAACCAGTTCACTCTTGATAACAAGGATGGTGACAGCAAGGGCGGTCACAACACCGATGCTTTTGATATCGGTTCTTCCACCGGTGTCACCATCACCGGCGCCAAGGTCTACAACCAGGACGACTGTGTTGCCGTCAACTCCGGAAAGGTCAGTAACTCTTCAACTCTCCAAGAATAACTCACTAACTTCAACAGAACATCATCTTCCAGAACGGTTACTGCCACGGCGGTCACGGTCTCTCCATCGGCAGTGTCGGCGGCCGCGACGACAACATCGTCGACAACGTGCAGTTCCTCAACTCCGAGGTCGTCAACTCCGCCAACGGCATCCGCGTCAAGACCATGAAGAACACCACCGGCAAGGTCAACAAGGTCACCTACTCCGACATCACCCTCTCCGGCATCACCAAGTACGGAATCCTCATTGAGCAGAACTACGACGGCGGCGATCTCCACGGCGAGCCCACCAGCGGCCTCCCCATTACCGGACTCACCCTCAAGAACATCAAGGGTAAGAACGGTGTTTCTTCCAGCGGCAAGAATGCTGCCATTGTCTGTGGAAGCTCGGGTTGCAAGAACTGGACTTGGCAGAATGTTCAGGTCACTGGTGGTAAGAAGTATGATAGCTGCAAGAACGTTCCCAGCGTCGCTTCTTGCTAAATCGTGACCTTTTGAGTCATGAGTCGGTTGCGTTTCATCAACTCATTCTGTGTATGAGTTTGGCCCTGGAAGCATCTGTAAGCCTCTTTAATTCTCAACCGACGTCGGTACCTCGTAGCCCGATGACGTTGACACTTGATCTTTGTGTACATATATAGCATAAAACCTTTAAACAATTTATTCATCAGCTATGATACGTAGCCCTTTGCTCTAAGACGCCTTGTGAAACCGAAAGAGAGTGCAACATGTAAGGGATAACTCCAAACCACATCCTTTGGCCGACGTTCCAGTAGTAAAAACTAACCATCCGTCTGACTCCTGCTGACTGTGGTGATCGCTTCCTGGATTACTGCATAATCTGTGGTGTGGATAGGAATATTTGAGCCGTCCTGCTTATAAGCCTGCCATAACAACTGCGCTCTGTAGCACCATTCGAAATGCTCCAGGAACTCCTGACGGCCATAAACCCTCTCAATTCCGTCTTCTCTCTGGGGTTCCTTTCTGGGCTTTTTGATGCATCCTTTGCACGCGATTCCAGTCTCAATCTGGAAGTTCACCGAATCTATGAAAGGTACTGCGCACATCACCAAGTAATTGAACGGGGCCAAGGTCCTCCATGAGCGTGGCCTTCCGACGTCGAGGTGCTTGACTCTGCCGTATTCCACGACATCTTGCCTCTAGCCTTTCAAGCCGACGCCTAAGTCCTTGTCCCGGAACTTAGGAGGGATCTCTGTTTCTGGACCCAGCCACGTGGCTTCGACAGTGCTCAATCGGACAAATCTGGAAGCTTTCAGCTCAGGGTCTAGGCCGGCACCCAGTCGGTTACCACGCTCAACGCAACCCTGGCAAAGTCGCAACCACTCAGGGATGCTGATGAGCATGGCAAAGTGACCACAGATCTCACATGACTCTGTGGCGAGAAGGGTCCAAAAGTCCATGACCAGCACTTGTTGCGCATATCTTGTGTTGAGGATTGCGTGGTATAGAGGAAGGGCTTTGATAATGTGCCTGTATATGGTGTGCCTGCTTATGATCTTGCGTAGCCGAAAGTTCGTTTGTCGAAGATTGAAGAGGGACTGCACGTCGCACCATGGAAGAACACGGCTAATGAGTCGCCGATCACGATCGAAGAGGCCACGAGGACGGGGACCACTGTTGGAATCGGGGAATGGTCCCAGCGAGTCGAGCACGGTAGGGGGGTATGCGATTGGGCGGTGGATCGCGCCAGGAAGATACTGCGCACTGAATCGTGAATAGCCAATGGTTTGCATGATGCGGGAAATGTCTTCGGCATCATATTCGAATTCCGTGATAGGCCACGATGCAGAAACTATGGGGTTGTCCATTTTGCTAGAGATGCGGAGAATTGAGATGCTGTGACAATGATGGGATTGATGATGGTGGTGATGATGAAAGGGAGAAAAGAATCCAGGTGTAGATAACGTAGGTGGGAAGGAAGAGAGGCACTTGTAGTCAAAGCAGGAGAGATCGTGGTGACACTTCCCCTCAGGTTTGTCTATCTAAGATTTAGTCGAGTTGGGTAAACTACTTTATAATTTACTTAGGTAATTTCTAAAAATCTCAATAAAGTTCAAATAATATTAGTAAATTAAACTTCTAAGAGTTTCCGTTATCAGAGAGAGGGCACCCTTCATGTAACCCCAGGTGCCGTGCTTCTCAACCTCATCTGCAGCCTACCTAACGTCTCTTCACTTCTGGTAGTGCACAACAACTCATAAAAACAAGAAAACACAGTCTCTATTGCTCTAATCTTCTATAAATCACCCGGCAGAATCTCTGTGATATTACTCTTCGCCAACTCCTTCGTCGCATCCAAAACCTCCACCATCCTCCCCCTCGCCTCGACATTCTTCTCACTCTTCATATCAGCCATCCCCATATGCTCCAGCGTCACACAGATCAGCGACTCCATAAGCCGCTGCGCAAGTTCCCCGGCGTAACCCTGTTCGTAAAACGCCGGTGTTTCATTGACTTCCAACAACCACGCTGTCCCCTTGGAATCGATCAAGAAGTCAATGGCGAAGAGCTCGAAGCACTTATCCAACGGTGTGAACTTATCAGCCATTGTGTGAGCAGCTGCACGAAGTAGCTCTCCTGAGATTTGACAAGCTTGATCAAAGACGCTTCTCTTCCAATCACCAGGAAGCAGATCATCGTCGATCTTCCAAAAGTCTCGCATGGATTCTTTACTGGTAAACTCCTCTTCATCTTGGAGAGCGGTGTTGGTCAACGATGATTTGAGGCCGGGGTTCTTCCATGGAGGCTCATAGTCATCGAGGGCTAGTAAAGCGAGCATTTCGTTAAAGACGTGGACTTTGAGACGACCGACGGAGAGGACGTAAGCTCTAACGTGCCACTTTCGGCCGTCGATGGGTGGAATGTTGACAATGTATTGCTGGGCGACGAACTCTCGAAGAAGGGCCGATGGAATGCGCTCGTTTTCATCGATGACTAGATCTTGTATCTTGTTTGTTCCCTGGACGGAGAGCTTTCCAGTAGCTGTGATCAGGGCATCTAGCGAATCAAGTCCAGGTGCCGACAGAGTTGGTTTGAAACCCTCAGCACTGTCGTCGCTTTCGAATTTGGTATCTGGCGTTTCAGCGTCTTCTTCGCTCTCTTCATCTTCCTCGGAAATATCGGCCGCGAGTTCAAGGTTGCCCGCCAGTTCGTCAATGGTGCTGAATATCCGGATACCATGGCCGCAATCTATCATGGCAGGCTTGAGAATCCACCAATCTCGCTCTGACGAGTCCTTTGCTTCATTATCTTCAAGCGAGTACAAAAGAGTGAGATCGTCAGCCGCAGCCAACGCATCCTCGACATATTCGCTGTAGTCGAGGGATAATTTCACAGTCGCAGGGCTATGACCTTTGAGGACACTTTCTGGCCTTTTGGTGATCCAGTAATCCACGACACTTGCCATATGGTCTTTTCGAGCCAATGCATCGCTGTTGGGGTACGCGTTGAGGAGTCCATGTGCAGCTCTGTTCAACACCGCGAAGTGATGGTTCAGCTCCCATCCGTTGAGAAGCTGATACACAGTGTCGGCATCTTCTGGAATATCGGTGAACTTCTTATGGCAGATGGCGTCTGGTACGTGTCGTTTGATGCATTCTTGGATATGGTCATCCAGCCATGGATTGGCGCTATGAACGTATACGTGCATTTTCAGACTGGAATTGGCTGGCTTCTCAGCGAGTGGTGCAGCCTTCTTCTGGAGGGAGAGCAGCTTGACGAGGAATCGGTAGGCGAGCAAGTCTCGATTCCATAAGGACGATAACGATTATTCTAGGAAAAATCATCAAGCACGTACTTGATCGACGAGGGGAGCCGGCAGAGCCAAGAAGAGGTGACAGTCGGAGCCTTTTAAACACCATGCTCACGGTCCTGAGGAAGAAAATATTTTAAAAGTGAATGCCAAGAGAACAATTCATGGTATTTACTAAGGTGATCCACTCATTCAAACATTTTGTTCATATTCTATTGGGCGTTGCATTATTAAACGTAAGCAACATCATGAAGTTCATGATATTCTTCAAAATGCATGATCGGCGTTGCGCTCACCGTTTCTTGTTAGGGGTCATGCCAGGGCCCAAATCGAGATCACTGAAACCTTTAATATGATTGCTTTGGCTCAATTGGCCTACTAGTCAAATGTGAAACTTTTTTCATGTTCGCTCATGAGTTGTTTGTCATGTTCTTGGTGACGTGATTTGAAAGGCTGATTCTTGGCACTCATATCTAGGTCTGTTTATTTTTTTTTTCCAAGTCTAAACAACCTCATCCCTCTCTACCCTTAGTCTATTGAAACTTTCATTTATCAATTTATGATGAAATGACGAAATCTAATTTTTATCCAAGGCCGTGATTCTACAGGACATCGAAGTCGTCATGACAGCCTGCTACTTCTAAAACCAACTCTTAACAAAGGAAAAAACCCCATTTAACTCATGTCGCTTGATTCCCATTCTTTTCGACGCCTCATTTTCTCTTATCAAAACATCTTTAAATGAGCTTCTCTTTCCCGATCAATTGGAAATTGTCGTCGCATTGATGCTCGAAATGTTGGCCTGCAATCATTTCTTGTGCCCGATAATCTGAACAGAGCCTCGTGGTAGCCGTCAAGGTCTCCGGTATCCTCGGAATCGGAGCTTTCAGACTCGTCGTCTTCTTCCAGATCCAGAAATTGCTTCTGAGCTCCAGTAGGCGTTGTAGAAGCGTCGACAACAGCGTATGCCTGTCTAGGCCTTGATATTCTGCCCACTTCGTCGTCTCTCTTCCTCTCCTCAAAGGGCAGTTCCGTTCGATGAGGAAGCTTAGAAAGCCAACTTTGGACTTTTCCTTGCGGCTTCTGCTGGATGGGTTGGATCACTTGGCGAGTATTGCCGACGTAGCTCTCAAAGTAGCTTGCCGAATTCCCTTTTGGTTTTGTCATGACGTATGATGTTGAAAACATGCGCAGTGTAGGCGCTACATCACTGAATGGCGAGTCGATGTGACCAGGAGTCGTAGGCGTCCGTGATGAGCTCATGGAAAAGCTCCGTTTGTGGGAAGGCCGAGAAGCATCATCGGCGCATTCGTGGAGTGTGAACAATTGCCTGTTGTACCTGGGCTCGATGGTGGTGACGATGCGAGGTAGTGGCCGCTTGTGACGCAAGGACGATGTGCGCCGAGGAAATTTTACAGGCGCTGGCATGTCCTCGCTAGAAGGAGAGTAAAAGTTCTGATTTCTCATTGTGATAGTATAAAGAATGATGATATTTGTCGTGGAACAACTATAGATCCTCCTAAGACTTAAGTATCTGGATGACGTTTCGGAATACCCGCCATGAATCATATTAAAAAGCTTGTTCCAGTACCTCGGCCGCAATTACAGTTGGCACATTACGAAGCCGAGCGACTACTGCCGGGCTGAGCTAGCCTTAGTGAAACCACTTTTGCTATCAAAGCGCGGATAGTGACATATTAGGGAAATTTTAGCGCACCCTGATATGTCAATTTACGCTGCATAAACGCCTCGCTACCACTAAGCTCAGCGCAAGTGCCTGTTTTGTGATCTGTGAGCTGTCCCAGAACCGCGGATTGTTTCACCTCGTGACCTCGGTACGCGGGTTCTATTAATAAGGAGAGAAAGGCCGGACTAATTTGAGTTACCTTGACGATTAAATCGCGGCAAATGCGTCCATTTATGACTTGCGGATACTTATTGACCTAGATTATTTAATTAGGCCAGTATTTTATACAAAAGAACGATTAAACGGTGACTTTTTAACGTTTATTGACTATATCTATCGTTTCTCGAACGTCCTTGTATCTCACTTTTCCAGACTTACAAGCGTGAATTGTCACACTGCAGTCATCTATTCTACCTCCTTCCGATACCGAAACTCGATCCTCGGAATGGGCATGTAAATGTTGTCAATTTTCAATCAGCTTTATCCAACATTTTTATCATACTGACACTCTCATAGAGTTAAATCCACGAGCGTCGCAATCGGTTCCGGTTATCCCCGTGAAACACGATACAAAGTCTATTGCAAGCTTGGCCCTGTCTCCGGGCGATCTCGACAACTGTAGCAGGGGAATCCTTGCCGGGGAATGAACGTTTCTCTCCCCCCGGTAAAGACTACGTCAACTCGATATGACATTCACAAGTCGAGTCAGAATCGGATGACTTTTACGTCGATGCTTCCTCGGGAGGTTTATTTCATGAGATATCTATAGAGATACGTACTGGCGAAGGTTAAACTTTCGGTTGCGAAGACAAATGATGTGATAGTGATACTCCTTGTCTGCATGGGAGTGTAGCAGAAGATGCAATACAACTTGGATAGACAGGAATACTAACCATGTTATCAGAATGATTCACACGTAACTACCGGTCTATTTGTGTCCTCGTGTTATGATCTGCGTTTAACCCACATCCCGAAAAAAAGCCATCTAGAACATCCACGCTTGACCCATCAAGTACTAGCTACCGAGCTATCACAAATCATCATCCCCCTGATCTACCTACCGATAGATCTGCATGCCGCGGCATACTCTTTAATGACTACCAAGGCTTAACGTTATGCCGATTGGGTAGGCTATGGGATGACAATACCGGGTGCACGGGGACCCGAAATTCACCGTTTATCATGTGGCACGGACGGCAAAACGTCAGTCACGAACAACGCATGATTGGCTAGAGCTTACTTGCTAAACAAGGTCAGGGTGGTGGCTTGGTTCTAGACTGTTCGCGTAACGTTCTGCTGTTATTCTGTAGAATGGTGTGCAGCGCTGGATAGGGGAAGGGAAGAACGGAGCAAGCTTGAGTAGTCAATCTTCAAAGTCGGTGATATGGCCATTTTTGAATGCAAGTTTTGTCTATTAGTAAGGTCTTTCTAAATAATACAGGGATGATGTTTCGCTCAAGTCAAAATAAGTAGTCGCTCCTTTTAAATGCGCATGACCTCATTCGTGAGATCTCGAAGATGCTACCACGCTAATACTTTTACGGGCTTCCTTTTCCAAGCCTCGAGGGTACCGTCGTCGCATCGACGGTCGGAACTTGCGATCGGCTTCTGTAGAGAAAGGCGAAGATGTGTCGATTTGCAGAAGAGTCAAGTGATAAGCATCGAGGGTCGTTTCTGGGTCCGTCGTGTCATATAGTTCAGGTCTTCCGTAGTCTACGTATCCGCGTGTTGGACTCGTAGGTTGGATGCCCTCATAGCATGTGTCTAAGAAGTCCAGGTAATTTAAAAGACCCTGGGTTCCAGGAATAGACTCTCTTGATTGTTCAGTATCAACCGTTGACGACGATTCGTCCTCCGTGGCATCGTCGAGGGCCTACGGTGCGCATTAGCTTGATCCTGCGAGATACTCGATAGGATGATAGGCTTACATCAACATAGCTCACGTCCAGCCATGGAATATCAGGGAGTTTCGAGAGCCAACTATGTACCCGCTGATCAAGGCTGGCGTAATCATTTGGAAAGGTTCCAGTGATGTCATCGGGTAAAATGGAACGGAGCTTCTCATCGTTCGTTGAAATGACAGATGAGGGGGAACAAATATAGAGTTGTGACTTGTCGTCGCTAACGAATGTGTTATCGGAAATGGCGTGATATGAAGATGTTGACAGAGTTTCCCAAGAGAATCTACGTCGTTCGAGTGTCGCCGAATCCTTCCGGAGAGCTTTCTGTACAGTGAATGGTTGGAGGTCAAAATGGATGTCGTCTAACGCGTCAAAGGCACTGTTGATGGTTGCATCCATTTCCAGATGGGTCGGTTGGTAAGATGTCCGGTCAAATGTCCGAGGAATTGAGTCAAGAACGGACTGGCCTGACATTGTTGAAAGCATTGGAGTGCTTGGCTGATTGATGATGAACTGAGCTTGGCGCATTCCAGAGCTCTTTCTCCTGGTTTCTCGTGGATAATAAATAAAAGCTTCTGGTCTCCTCGTAGCTTAATGATGCCCAACTACATGGCCTCTGCGACGGTCATAGCATCAATACTACCTACGGCATTTCGTTCCAGGCTAAAATTTGAAACATGTCGGAGATTGTCGACATCGAACTTACGCTCTGTTGACAAGCTTCCTCATGTGGCGTCGTGCAGCTCAAATTGGTCTGTTCTTGGAAATGGTCGCGAGATGGTAACCCCAACGGTCCACCCGCTACCAGATAAGCGATCGAAAATCAGCCGATTTTTCGTGCTACCTAGCTTGCGAAGAACACGAGAGATTCTAGACGGCATAAAGCCACAAAGTCTATTACTTGCTTGTTGCCAATCTCACCGGTTTTAGACATGTTTGCGTCATTTAATGGCGGGTCTAATTGGATGTCCAACTTGACGTGGTATTCCGCTATGCCGCGATGAGAAGGTCGCGTGCCAGGTTTGATGTACCGTGGTCCAAACTCTATTTAGCACCGCGTATAAGACACCGAGCGTCCTGGGATCTTCCCAGTCGCTTTAGCCTTTGGAGCTCGTGCCATCGTTCTCGTAACTTCTTAATACAGTGGAAGAGTTCCTTGGCGGATGATGATTTTTCCAGCACGATGAGCAAGTTAACGGAAAGTCATCTCATAACTGACCACCAAGTCTGCCCTGCACAACAGCCACAACTGCACCACTGCTGTTAATCATATGTTATCGCTGCTACATCACCCCAGACCACCCCAGAAGGAGTGACTAAAAGACAGGAGTTATTCGTCTCCTCGTTCGGTAAGATTGGAGTTAGCACTGAAACACTTACAGCTTGGCTTTCTGGGGAAGCTCTGCGTCGACTCACCGGAACTTCCGGCCCGTTTGTAGATCACGACGGTTAGAGGTCACTGTAGGAATAGGCGTCAAATTACCCCGTACTAATCGGCTCATTCCGGATGATCAGGCACTGGCATGTTTCCTTTTAATTATGGCGAGCAAGTAAAACGCACGTGCACATATTCCTTCTTAACCTCTCACCACGGCGAGCTGTCGGTCCGACTTGAATCATCACAGTCTAACTGGCCGAGATACTATGATTGATGATTATGCCACAGAACTGAGGCCAGCGCTTTGAGCGCACTGTTCGTGCATGTGACTTCAGGAATTCAGTATCCCTCGCTGGCGGGGTTATAAGTAAAGTTTATGAATAGGGAGTTTTGTTATATGTACAAAGCGTTGGGTGACAGGGTGATAAACGAGAGGTGCATGTTGGTGGAACCCGTAAAATGATCGGCAGCATCAGCCGAAGATGAGATCCAGAATACCCACAGCGGCAAGGTCGCTCAGGGGGGACGATCAGAGCGCTAATCAAGCTCAAGCGGTGGACTAGAGTCTACTGTAGACGATATGCTTCTTCTGGAATGATATGCAGTTAACTTTACTTAGATGAGCCCAAGCGCTTAAAACCTTCCGATGTACATCACAGCTTTTGATCCATAAACTCCGTTCTGTTCCTGACATCGGACATCGATAAGCTGCGGGTCTTTCCGTCATCCCCTGCTCCCCAGCTGTCCGTCACCCTGTTCACTCCAAATTTGACAATTAGTCAGTGAGACAAAAGGACCATATTTCCATGCAGGACCCCTATGTCACTGTCAGGTTGACGGAAAGCAGGGGATGACGGAAATACCCGTAATTGACTTACAGCGTATGATGTTCCAGAAACACCCAACGACCTAGCCCAAGCCTGAAGCTCTTTATCCCGCACCGCAGTCGCCTCCTCCACGACCGCACGCGTTTCAGTCGACACCACCTGGGCGATAGCCTGTCAAGCGTTGCCTAAATCAGAAGCCCTTGTCCTGAAAAGGAACAGGACCATTTTGCTGCACAGCAGCAGTAAGTGAACCAAGGTCGGGCTCAGAACCACGGCCAGCCTCGTCCACCATACTGAGAAGAGCGCCTCAACTGAATTTACAGTGGTGACTGGCTTGTGCACGTCAAACTCCACCATACATTCGTAAAACATGGTAGAATTAAGCCTAAAATCAGGGGCCTGCATGGCCGATCCAGGATCTCCCGTGGCTCGTAAGATGTCTTGGATGAGAGAGATACGCACGGCATGTGCGGCCCGTCGAGCGGTTCAGTCTTCCTCGAAGAGATCCTTGTAGTTTGTCAATTCCCAGCCTCCTTGCGGCGAGTACCTTGACAGCGCTTGGATAAGAGCAAAGTTTCTTGGCCCCGTCATGGGCTTCGAGTAATTCGAGTTATGCACTCCGACCTCAAGCAGCATAATTTGTCGATCCCCGTAGTCTTTGCTGTAAATCCCAATGCGAAGCTGTTTCTGCAATGGCTCGCGACTCTTTAAGTGCCATTCTTTTGCTGCTCAACTGTCAGCTCGGATGAAATAGACATCCCGATCACTGTAATTTCGTAAAGCCTCAAGAGAGCGAAATCAATCCTTTCAAGACTAGGGCTGAAACAGGCTGCTGTGAAGTTGCCCACTAGACCTGACCTGGAGTAGTGCTCCAGAGTTGTTCTATACTCCTCCTTGATATAGGGCAGAAGAGCACGGTATGTGTTCCTAGTGTCGGCAATTTCGGCAGTTGATGCAACATTGCCGGCCCGTTCGAAGAAGGACCGGACCTGGAGTGGAGAACACTATTTGCACATAATTTATTATTCGGTCCGAGACCAATTGAAAGAAGCTTTTTCTTCATAGGTCCAGCGATATTGATGTTCTCCCTGTGAGAAGTATTGTGAATGTAAAGGCCAAGGCGACTAAAATAATCGTCCCTGGAGTGATGTTCGGAGTGTTCGAAGTGTGTAGCACACTAAATACACTGAGCCTGGCAACTCGTAATGAAGCAGAAGGTATTGTGTAAGGGCCTGAACCTGACGCTCGTCGTAATGAAACTGCCGCAATGTCGCGAAACCTGGTGCCAGTAGTCTCGAGCATAAGCGCTGCAACAGCCGCAGCTCCAAGGCTGATGTAAAATCCCCTCGATACGATACACGTATGGCAGCGGAGTAGATAGTAATGGCCTTCGTAGCCATATCGAAAAGGACGATGGCTTTCCATAACTCTTGATGACTCACCTCGACCTCGGGCTGTTTGCGTACCTTTCCAAAGAAACACCAGTATGGTGCATGACGCCAAGACGGCCATGGTATCGGTGATCACTGTAAAAAGACCCAAGAGTCCTATCTTGTGCCAACAGCCATGCTTTGGGTACCTTTTTCTGTGCTATTGGAAATGGCGGTTACGATTCTACGGAGACTGTCTACCCATGGGTGGCTTTCAAGACCAGTGGTTCAGAGTCTATATTGGCACGAGGTAGCGATACAGACAGGGCTTCCCAAGATGATTCGTAGCGATTAGGGAGCCTGGTGGCTGGTTCTTCTAGTAGTAAATATCGCTGCAGAATCCCTGGGGAAGACAGGTCGTATCGGTATATAAAATAGCTTTGTGCTGTGCCATGATGACGCTTTGTTAAGAGCAGCATGGAACGACACCAGAGTGTAAATGACATTTTATCCCTTAGGGAATATATTTAGAGTTCTCTTTATGTAATTATCATTAGATAGGCTTATAAAGTTTATCTTAGGTAATTGACTTTGATAAGAGTGTTGTTTTGAGTTGATAGACCGTACAGCTGATAGCTCACATCACGCGCCTCGTAAGTGCAAAGAACAGGGAAAGATGGCTTGTTTTATCCCTCATTCCCGATGCGTCTTCACAACACCTCGCCAGGTGTGATGATGACTGTATGTCGTTATTAAAGACTTCTGATTAGACTGTATTTTTCGATAAGCAAATGACCTGCCACTCGCAGAATCCTTCAGTCATTGTTTGCTTGTTCTTGGCAACCAGGCTGTGGAGGACTCTGCAGAGCTACCTAGATGGGCCAATACAAAGCTGTTCTCTACGCCCCATGGTCCACCAGCCACCAACTTTCTTCAGCTCATGCAAGAATATATCGCTTAGAGCTTTTATTAGTTTCCAATCGTTGCCATGGTGGATGCGATACTCGTGCAGCACCTCTGCTGATGGCTTGCCCCATCGCCGTGCTGACCACCACGACTTCCATAGAACATAATGGGGATATAATGAGAGGCAGTGCCTCAAGCATACAGTGGGACTTCTTTTATTATCTATTTGAAGATAACTCGTTGGCGTGACTCACTAGCTCGATAGAATCGCCTTCTCAATAGCTTCTCCCAATGTCTGCGTATTTCCGTTACCACCAATATCCGCAGTCTTGACATCCGCTCCCGAACTCGCCAGCACAGTCTCAATAGCCGTCATCATCCCCGCAGCGGCATCTGTATACCCGAAATGCGACAACATCATCTGCCCCGCCCATATCATTCCGATAGGGTTAGCAATCCCTTTGCCGTAGATATCCGGTGCACTTCCATGAACAGGCTCGAATAGACTGGGGAAATCGCCCGTTGGGTTGAGATTTGCTGATGGCGCAATGCCAATTGTTCCCGTGCACGCAGGGCCCAGATCAGATAGAATATCGCCAAAGAGGTTCGATCCAACAACAACGTCAAAGATTTGAGGTCGCTGAACAAAGTGCGCCGTCAAGATATCGATGTGATACTTCTCAACCGCAACATCAGAGTAATTCTTGCTCATCTCAGCCACGCGACTATCCCACCACGGCATAGTGATGCTGATGCCATTACTCTTGGTCGCACTCGTCAATGTCTTCCTAGGTCGACTCTGCGCAAGATCAAAGGCATAGCGAAGAACGCGATCCACTCCAACACGCGTCATGACCGTATCTTGAATCACAGTCTCTCGTTCCGTTCCTTCAAACATGATTCCTCCGACGCTGGAGTACTCTCCCTCCGTGTTCTCACGCACGATCCAGAAGTCGATGTCGCCGGGTTTGCGGCCTGCGAGGGGAGATGGAATCCCTGGCATGAGGCGACATGGCCGTAGATTGATGTACTGGTCGAATTCACGGCGGAATTTGAGGAGACTACCCCATAGACTGGTGTTATCGGGGACTTGGTCGGGCATGCCAACGGCGCCGAAATAGATGGCGTCGAAGTTCTGGAGAGTATCCTTCCAGTCGTCAGGCATCATCTTGCCGTGCTTTTCATAGTAATCGCAGCTTGCGAAGTCGAACTCTTGGAATTCGAGTGAGATGCTGAACTTCTTGGCTGCGGCTTTGAGGCAACGAACGCCATACGGCATGACTTCTTTGCCGATGCCATCGCCCGGGATGACAGCGATCTTGAGTGTTTTAGACATTTTAAGAAGTTTGTGAATTCAGATTCCAGATGCGAACTCGGCGAGATCACTTGTCCTTGAGAGAAGATTCCTTCGTACTTATTTCTGGACCTGCAGTTCTTGTGTTCAGCGGTTATACCGAACGCCGACGATGTCGGGATATAGAACAGCCGATGATGAATCCCCGCCGGTGGAAGAGCGGGGATTTCTTTGTCCGCATGCTCTTATCGGCCTGCAGACCCCGATAAGATCGGACTGAGTGCCATTTCGCCGACTGCCTGTACGACTGAATCACGAAAACAGCAAAGAAAACACACTTCTGAGAAATAAATTACTATGCCATCGCTTCGTCAATCATTATTCTGGCCTATTGTTCGGCGTGTTTGATCGATATTATGCGGCAGAAGGTAAGCCCGCTAGTGGTAAGCAGCCGAGGTTTGGCAGTGAGGCCTGTGAAATTATGACGGCATAGTCACTCTCCGCAATTAATCATCACCAGAATACATTATTTAAGCAACTTGTCTACCAAAGGGCGTTGACGAGATATAACCCGGTAAACCGCGCATACAGCTCAAGTTCCTCAATTTTTTCTTACCATATCATATCTATCCGCTTCTTAAGATGTTTGACAACTTTGAGCCTTTCGCAATCAAGACAAAGTCCAACCCGGACATCACCATCAACGGCTTGAAAAGCGGCGAGCCCTCATCTAAGCCCGCTCTTCTTCTCATTCATGGCTTTCCTCAAACACTCCATATCTGGCATCGTGTCGCGCCTCAAGTTCTCGACAAGTACAACGTGGTGCTGATTGACATCCGAGGTTACGGAAAGTCATCCAAGCCTGAACATGTAGCTTCATATGCAAAGAGCGCTATGGCTAGGGACTGCGTCGATGTCATGGATGCTCTCGGCCATACTGGATCTTTCTTTGTCTGCGCTCATGATCGCGGTGCCAGAGTCGCGCATAAACTCGCTGTCGATTACCCTGATCGCATTCGCAAGTTCATACTACTTGACATCTGTCCTACACTGGCGATGTACACCAAGACGGATTTCGACTTTGCCAAAGCATACTTCCATTGGTTTTTCCTCATTCAGAAAGAACCTCTTCCTGAAACTCTTATCACTGCGAAGCCTAGAGAGTTAGCAGAGATGTTCATGGGCGGCCGCCAAGGCGATGGGTTATCCATCTTTGAGCCAGAGTGTTTTGAGATCTATACCAAGAATTTGGAAGATCCTGCGACGGTTCATGCCATGTGCAATGATTATCGCGCGAGCGCGACGGTCGATCTGGAAGAAGCGCGTGAGGATCTGAAGCAAGGTCGAAGGATTCAGAGCCCCTTGCTTGTGCTATGGGGAAAGCATGGGGTCATTGAGAAGTGCTTTGATGCTGTGAAGGAGTGGAAGGACGTTGCTGATCCTGGTGTGCTGGTTGAAGGTCGCAGTGTTGAGTCGGGACACTATGTTCCGGAGCAGGCGCCCGATGTTGTAGTCTCCGCGATTCTAGAATTCCTCAATTGAGCGCTGAAGAGAATGCGATCGAGAGGTTCAACGATAAGACATTTCTAGGAAATTAAGTACTTATATCCATTCGCGACGCGTCTCGCGATTGACTTTGTAGAGATATTAAACGTCTTTTTGAGACGCGCTTTTTTCGTCTCGAAAGACTGCACCAAAAAAATGTTTGTCTGGCACCTGATGAGATGAGCGAAAGTCTAGATGCCAAAGAAGCATAAATCAAATAAGTTCAGCTAGAGGTGACACGAGACTAGCGTTGATGATCTAGTGGAGGAGCAACGCGAAATGAAGCAACCAATATCAGAAGCCGTAGAGCCCCCGTGTTTCGGAAACCCATCTTTTGGGAACGGGTTGGCCGATCAGCCAAATTTATCGTTACCAGCAACGCTCAAAGACGTTGTTACTCCTTTGAGACGAGGGAGGGTAATGTGAGGGGCAACGGTTACTAATGCAATCTTTTACATTCCATTGATTTCGCAACGGATTCATCGCAGATAAGAGGTTCAAAGTTACGAGCATGCCTGAGAGCGGATATCAGGGAATAGAGCGGAAGTAGAGAGCGTGCATCACTGCCGTGTTCGGGAAGGCTTCAAGTTCCATGCATAAATTCAAGGTTTGGATTGAGTTGCCCGTCGCTGCCGAGTCAGAGGCTAGACCATTGATGAACAGAAAAGGCGAGCCAATTAGAGGCCCTGCCTAGGTTCTGACATCAAAGAGGCGTTGCTCATTCTGGGAATGGCCTCGTCGCAGTAACGAGGAGTTTTCTCTATAGGGTAGCTTTGCCTTCAGGCTCGATATTAGTGATATAAACATGGCGATCGAGGGAGAGAAGGATAATCGTTCATATTCCTTGCATCGTGATCAATTTCTACACTCATCGAAAGCCTTTTTCTTCTTTTGACATCATTCACGTCATTTTGCCTTCGATAAGACTGTTGATCGTCGTAACTAGACTGCTGGTTGGCACTTGGATTCCAGCTTTGACGTCAAAGCACACATCGCAATATGAGCCATCGATAAATTCACGATAGTCCGAGATGCTTTCCCATCTCGGAGTGGCGTTTCCAGTGATCCGAATCGAGAATCAAAAAGCAACTGCAGCTATAATATCAACAGGCATCTTTGTGCTATCGCATCCCCGACGATCCTACGGCGATGGCGATATCCGCTAAACCTTCGAGAACAGAAATGGTCACTAATCCTGCAGCTCACCTATGCAGACAAGGGTTAGACATATGCCAATCTCCTGCTAGAACGTCTTGTAATCGCCAACGGGGTGGATACGGTTGGCTGAGGATCCTCGCGAGGCCTACAGACGGGCATGCCGCTAAGGAGGATACATGCACCGGGGACGTCACGATTAGCGGACCGTTGGTGTGGTTTTTTCTCTTCTGCTTGCTGCACCCAATCTAGGGCCCGCGTCGTGTCCCCGTGGTGCAAGGAACGGCCAAGACATGCGCGGGCAGCTGAGGGATGGATCGCCGAGACGGAAGGCGTTTTCTGGGCGTCCAGGGCAGAAACGGGTGTTCCGGAAGATGCCTTCTTGGTATCTCGGTATACAACAGCTTGGCGCAGACTTGGCGAACGGGAAAAAGCTGCCGTGGTGGTGTCGAGAGCTGGACATGAGATGGTGGCGATGGACATCACGAGCGGGAAAGTTGATATGCGACGTTAGGTTTAAGCTTAGAGATAAGTCTAGAGCTGAGCGCCAAAAAGGAATTATTCGTGAAACTAGTGATCTACAGTTCTCTATACAGACACCGAATTCAAGACTCGGTTTACCAAAACGACATGGTCAGACACTCGTCAAGGTCTCATCCGTTCGCCGAGGGACCGGGTATCATGCGTACATACGACAGCCAAGGATACCGCCAACAACGGGCAACTTCACGTGCATTAGACAAAGCGGGAATCGGAAATGTCAGGCCAAAAGAAACTCACCAACACCCAGAAAATGATAAATAATCCCTGCCGTTAAAAAAAGTGGCCAGCAAAAGGACCCAATAAACAGAGGTAGTGCGTGTTAGTGTCCGGGGTGCAATCTATCCAGTGAGATCTCTCCATTTCCCCATGTGGCCGTTTCAAATGGCTCTGCACGTTTCGCGCGGGGAGATGGGGGGGCTCAACGGGGAAAAGGTCTAGATTTGGTAAAAGAGAACAAGGCCTGGCGATTGAGACAGCGATCTAACCAGGAAGAGAGACCGAACGGTGGAGTATTCTCGGGCGAGGGCTAGATTTTACAATTCAATCGCTGCGACGACCTGTAAATTTACTTGCTGAGAATACGGTACAGTTTGCCAAGACTCTTAAGCCGAGACGATGGATTCGAGCACTGGAAATCGGAGGATGTCCGTGTTACGAGCAGCAATGGTGATACGAATTACAGCGGGTAAAAAGCTGTATTCTTTTTTTGTCTTGTTATTTTGCTTGGATTGGGGGAGATTTGTTATGTCTTAAGAACCCAAACGCATATGCACGTGCGCATCCCTCATCTTCAATGCACCAGCAATAAGCATACTTTTGTGCTTGCGAATAAACTTACTTTCAAGCATTTCCACAACTCTAAAAATCTCTGCAGGGTTTTTCCTTCTAGATACCCACGATTCGAAAAGAGAGCACGCGACTCGCCCAGAAATCAGCTTCTAGCCAAGCAGTGTCACCGATCGCTTGGCCATCTCTTGTCCCGCAGTTTGTGGCGTAGCCCCCCATGCTTTTCGGTCCTCAAAATTCTGACCAATAGAAACGACGAATTGGAGCTGCAGATCTCGCACGTGGGGTGTTGGAGAGAGGTGATAGGGTTGATATGCTTAATTCTTTAGTGCCCATGGATAAGCTCCACTCCAACTCTTGTTCGGCTGCGGATCCAAATGCGGCAAACACGCACGATGGGTGTGAAAGGCGTGAAGCCACCGTGTAATCGGTAGCCATATCGTCTCACCGAGGAGCTACGCACAACACAACACGCAGTGGCTTCCAGCTTCTGGACCTGGGTGGGGGTGTACGCACGGAACTACTGTAAGCTTAGGGACCTTTGAGTTTTTAGCCTCTTTGGCAGGGGGGGGGAGCTCCAAACGACCCATGGATAACTTTTTTTAATGTTTCGGTGGTACTGCAGAATTCCTTTAAAGTCTCCCCTCCAGGACCCCGAACTCAGATCTTGTCTTTCCTTGCTCGAGCATCCCTTCTTCCATCTCCCCCTCCGACTTCATCAGAGAAGCAAGCTTCATACAGCTTAGCTACCTTTCTTTTTACTCCCTTCTTTTACACAACAGCCAGGATCCGTCACAATGGTTCTCGAGGCTTATACTTACGTCTTTGCCATTGGCAGTTGCTTCGCTCTGCTTGAGGCCTACAACAACGGTGCCAGTATGTAGCCCCTCATCTTCACATGGTATTTCATGAGTAACTAACATTTCTCTTCACAGACGATGTCGCCAACGCTTGGGCTACCAGTGTCTCATCGCGCTCCGTCACATACCGAGGAGCCATGGTGCTCTGCTGTATCTTCGAACTCCTCGGCGCCCTAGCAGTCGGTGCCCGAACCGCCTCGACAATCAAGAACGGCATCATCCCCATGGAGTCGTTCCGCGACAATGCCGGTGTCCAGCTCCTCGCCTTCGCCTGTGCCTCGGCTGGTGCTTCCATCTGGGTTATGTGGTGCACCAAGCACAACGCCCACGTCTCCTCCACATACTCGCTTATCTCGTCGCTCGCTGGTGTTGGTATCGCTACTGTTGGTGCTAGCAAGGTCGAGTGGGGCTGGAACGGTGGTCAGGGTCTCGGTGCTATCTTTGCTGGTCTCGGTATGGCTCCTACTATCGCTGGTTGCTTTGCTGCCATCATCTTCTCCCTTGTCAAGTGGGTTGTTCACGTCCGAAAGAACCCTGTTCCTTGGGCTGTCTGGACCTCTCCCTTCTTCTTCCTCATCGCCGGTACCATCTGCACTCTCTCCATCGTCTACAAGGGATCTCCCCGTCTTGGACTCGCTGAGAAGCCTGCTTGGTACATCGCCTCCGTCACTCTCGGTGTCGGATTCGGTCTCTTCTTCCTCTCTGCCATCTTCTTCGTCCCCTTCGTCCACGCCGTTGTCATCAAGAAGGATTACACTCTCCGCTGGTGGGATGCCGTCCAGGGCCCTCTCCTGTTCAAGCGCCCCGCTCCTCCTGATGCTGAGAACGCTCGCGTTCCCAACTACGCTGTCATCCAACACGGTGCCGAGGAAGATGACGTCTCCGTCTCTCAAGAGTCCGAGGACCCCAGTCCCAAGAAGATCAGCGACGATGAGATCACCCCCGCCGCCGCCCCCAGCTCCGAGGTCAACGAGAAGCAGCACCTTAACCTTTCCGAGTCTACCCAGGAGGATTACCAGAAGATGCTTAAGAAGGCTGAGGAGAAGCACCACGCCAACCTCCGCAAGGGCAAGGGACCTCTCGGCTGGGCCATGCGCACTCTCCACGCCAACCCCATCGGTGCCGGTTCCATCCACGAGACTCACAACCTGATTGCCCTCGTCAAGCGCATCCCCGCTCAGATCGTCGTCGCTCTTCTCTACGGTGCTCACTACGACATCCACACTGCTCAGATGGGTATTGAGGCTACTCCCGAGGGTCGCCGTATGGCCCGTGTCTACGAGCACGCTCCCAAGTACCCCAACGAGGTCGAATACCTGTACTCTTTCGTCCAGGTCATCACTGCCTGCACTGCTTCTTTCGCTCACGGTGCCAACGATGTCGGTAACGCTGTCGGTGTCTGGGCTGGTATGTACGCTGCTTGGCACTCTGGCAAGCCCGCCGAGAAGAAGGCCGAGGTTCCTCTCTGGCAGATTGGTATTGTCGCTGCCACCATTTGCATCGGTTTCATCACCTACGGTTACAACATCATGAAGGGTAAGTCTCAATCATATCGTCTCTTCTGTACAACTACTAACTCTCACTAGTTATGGGTAACAAGATCACCTACCACTCTCCCAGCCGTGGTTCCTCCATGGAGATGGGTGCTGCCAT